GGTCGAAATACAACAGTTCACATCCCCAACTTCAATCAGTACATGATAAAGCGTTTTATTTGACTAATCCTTATAGTTGGCTGGAATTTTATCCCAAAGTTAATCACCAGTAAGCATGCAATAGTTCATTTAGGTGGTTTGTGGAAATCAGTTTAAAAGTGTGTACACTAATTGTATCTTTTCTTTCTGTTTATCAATGAACAAACAGTTTTTTTCCTATAACTATCAAGAATCGAACAAATTATCACATTTTTGGACATGATGTAACAGATAGGTTGAATTTCATCACTAATAATAATATTATATGATTGTATGCGGTTCCCTTCACGAGATTAAATGCATTATACAATCTTCGATACAGTACAGTTTCAAAAGCTGGCAATAGATACAAGTTAATGCCAAATGAAAAGTAAATTAGAAAAAATCTTGTTTAACTAAGTTATTTAATCTACTTTTTATGGCAAAGATATAACATCCCAAAATCTCGAAATGCATATTACATTATGATTATGACACCTTTTCATATCTAACATTACGTATCATTCCTTTCTTACTAGAAACATTTCTAAGCTATTACTATTACGATGTTTATCCCGTCAATAATCATGTACATTAAAGTGATATCACTCCTGACTATTCATTTTGTATGCACCTTATGCTTTAAAATATAAAGACTTTGTCACATATGTTGAGTTAAGAATAATTTACTTGTTAAACTGTAATAGTTTGTTATAAATGAGAACGTTTACGTGTTATTTATCACAAGAAATATTAAGACAGAAATGGTGATATTTATTACGAGGAAATCTAAAACTCAATACGATTTAGAATTTTAAAAAATCATTAAAAATAATCGAAATCATCTAAACGATTGAATTCAGTAAACATATTGGATTTTGCAAATTTACAAGTTTTTATCACTTCATCAATAGTAATAACAAGGAAATCACTTTATTAATTAAAGAACATTATGTAGAGAAACCATAACTTTTTTTAAATGAACTGGATTATTATAAAGTTAACAATGAAGCAATGAGAAATGATTCAAATCACGTGATTCGACTGTATCCAGATTTCTTGAGATGTTATAGTGACAGCGTAAATTAATTCACTTTTCTTGAAAGCTATCTAGCTTTCAATCAACACTTGATATTATAACTTAGTATGGTAAGTGTCAGGAATTTTGATGAAATCTTAAATTTGTTAAACTTCTCTTAGGAACGATTGATTAAACATTTTGATAGTAATTTGTATCTATTCATAAAGAGAGTTACTTTCTGATCCAAATATGGTCGTTATGGTTTTTATACAATTTGTAGATTTAATTAATCATGTATTGGCTGTTTGAATCTTCTCATTTATGTTTAGGGCTGTCATTGATCAGTCACTTTGTGACATAAGTACATCTTGTGAGGATTGCCTCGATATTGCCTCAAATCATGAACATACACCTCTGCTTATAATTTTTAGATTGTTTCTATCAGTTTTATGAATGTCAGCGGCATAGATTAAACAGTCATTATTCTCTACCATGTGATGCTTTTAAAGACTGTTAGATTTAAGGGGGAAATTATGAACTGGTTCTAGCTAAACAACTATTGAAATTCGGAGTGCAATGAACAAATTATTTTCCAATGTCAATATGCCTACGTTACTTAAGCTGAATAAGAATTTCCGGAACAAATGAATAAAACATTAAAAAAGAAGAATGTATTGGTCAAAGCTTGGACCAGATTGTCAGGCGAAACGTTGGATTTATTTCAAATTCTTTCGCTGAAATTTTACAAATACATTCTTCCTCTTTAATGGCTCACATTAACTCGGTGCCCAAATATTGTGAAACTATTCGTTCAAATTTAGACGAAAGTTCTTATTCCAATGGATAAAAGATGAACCTACATAAATATTGTTCAATATAGTACCCATCTACGCACGATTAAAACTGCTCGTTTACAAACTTTCAGCTGCTGTAAACAAATGTCTCACAAGACCTCTTAGTTGATTGAATTCCAGTAGCTGAATATATTCTACAAGTTTACTTGCTAAAATCCTTATCAAGCAAACCGTATACTAATCATATACACTGTATTCATGACATTATTATTAGAGTACATTTGCGCTGCATAAAGCTTTGAATGATTTTGATTAGAGCTAAATAATGAGAACAGTGACCAAAAATGATGTATGAAAGTGTAGGCATTTAAATAAAATTATAGAGGAATTGGTATATATCTCAACATCTATATATATATATATATATATATATATATATATATATATATATATATATATGTGCAAGTCAAGAAGTGACAATTGATTTTCAAAACTCAAAGATTATTCTGTTAATAAGAATATCTACCAGCATTTTTAAAAATAATTATCAATGAATATAACTTCTGTATATTAATATTGTTTTTGGTATAATTCTACAGATGGAGTGGTTAGGACGTCGAAACACTTGTAGCCTGTAAACTCGGATAAAAAATCTATTCGTTGATGAAATATTCCGATGGGCGACAAGAAAAAAATATAATTGCAACATATTACGAAGCGAACATATTACACAAAAATACGTCTACACGTATACAAAAAACACATTTTCATCATGTTTATATTGAACAACGTGACAGGACTGATATACATAATATTCGTGTTTAATCCTTCTTTGAAACAATGAAATCCATGAGTGATACAACGTAACAGTCAGCATTCAAAACTAAATTTGGGAATAATACATCGCTGCATCTCTGTACATACGTACTTATCTATTTTATTTTTAGAATCATAGAAGGTAAATGGATAGAATTTAAAATGTGTTCTTTATAACTGCGAGGTATCTGTGTTAAAGGTGTTAGATTATATGATTGAGAAATTTGTACTGTTTCACAAATTCACTAAATACCTGTTTTCAATGTAATATGAACCTACTGTGTATTTTATAGCTTTTATCATATAAAATGCAAAATCATGACGTGACAGACTGATTTTTAGATATGCTTATTTATTTATCAGTCAGGCATATTTATTTTCTATTTAGCGCTATGGAAATAACTTTAAAACAACAAGCTTCAATTCTAAGCTTCTATGTTTTCTACAATCATAAATACATTTTAGTTAAGTGGCCACTAGTTAAGTAGAGACAAGATTGTATATATAAATCTCCGAAACAAAAACATTAAATATGTTTTATTGATACAGTTCAATATTGAAAAGTTAAATTTAAATGAATAACTACAACAGACAAATAAACAACAATGATATCACATGCACCACTTAAATAAAGAAGTTAAAATCAAATTATTAATTGAAAACATCAGATGAACAAAATCTTACTGCATATTTCTCTAAATAAACATCAAAAACTAGCTTCAAACTGTTCATACAATAAAAGTGAATTTAAGACTAACTCATTTATTCGACTGCAAGTAAAGCTAAATAGAACTGTTTATGTAGTGCAATTCTATGCAAGTACCGAATTCCATATTCACGATAATGCAATCGTATAACCTTGAATATTGCCTCATATAGTTTCAAAGCTATGGTTTTCTATACCATATTACTGTTTCAAAAGTATTTAAAATAGTTTTTAAGTCCTTTGTTTGTGATCAACCTTATGTCAGTTGGATGCGTCCAGTAAGGACCGGCGTCAGAAAAGGCTGCTCAATCCCTCAATTCCTCTCTCTTCTGGTAGTTGAATGAATTATGAAGACCTCCAAATCTCAGAAGAAGCATGGGATACAATAGACAGCTTGGATGTAGCCAGACTCTTTGGACGAAAGAACACACAGAGTCTAAACTTGGAAGCAGAAATCAGAAGGATGGATAGCAACTGGAAACAACTGGAAAGGATTGTTCAAGGCAGAGTTCGTTGGAAAATGGTGGTGGGCGACTTATAATCCACCACGAGGTGTAACAGGTGTAAATCAGTATATAAGTAGTTGGATGAGTAAAAAATATATGGTTCTACATTCAACAAACAATCTTATGTGGTATCGTATCAAATAAGACAAATTGTTTCCTACTAAATAACAATAAAAGTAAAAATAATTTTACTCCTAAAACATCTGGTTGAATGATTGACAAAATATAATTACCAGTATGTGAAACTATGATCAAACGTTCAGCAACAGATAAATTTTGAATCAAGTAACAGGAATCAGAAGAAACTTGTTTTAGACTAATACTACAGAAAATTCTGATAAAGAAAAGGTTTACTAAAGTAATTTGTGAACGGCTGACGCTTTTACTTTATTGTTTGAATCAATGATACCTCAGAAAATCTATACGGATTGTATAACAAGTTTGAAGTTAATATGCTGACAATTTAAGTAAAACAATCACGTAGAATGTCGACGCATTTCATTCTTTTAAGGTTTGGTGATTACTAGGGAGGCCATTTTGTAAAACTTCTGCTTTTAATACATTCTGTTGAAGTTTAGTTCAAGATTTCTGCCTTACTGTCTTTCTTTTGCTTTTTACTCATTACGACGCTGACTTGTGCTAAAATTCAACCTGCAGACCATGTATGCTAAAAATGATCAAATGAACAGTATGTAATTAGCCTTTTATTTGATAAATAGCTAAATGAATGAGTTATTCAACCTTAAATATATAGTTTTAAAGAAGCAGTACTGTGATTTGTACAAAACTTCATCGGTAAATATAATCTGTCATTCAGTTGATGGTACATACTGAGAGTAGGCGTGATGATAGTGAACAAGGATTCATTTAAATAAACTACGTGATGTAAGAATTTCAATTTTATTCATTATTTCTTTTTCCTACTTATGTACATTGTGTTATCAGTTGAAATTTCATGTCATTTTGATTTACATTTACATTTTTAGGAATTTAATTATTACATATTGTTTCTGATTAGGATAATTGTAACTATTAGTATAATTGACAGTCAGACTATAACTATAAAAAAGTAGAATAAACAACAAGGTAAACATATTTAAAGTCATAAAACATCATGAAACTTCAACATGATAACCTACCCCAAGTAGATTTCTACTCAGATCTAGATATTTCAGATGAGAACTATAACGTAACAGTGGCACTAAAAATTTAGCATCAGATCCCGTAATTCCATTATCGGGTAATCGAAGATCAGTAATACAACCCAAACGAATTCCCGGAATTAGTATATGTAATAATTGCCCATTAATACCTGTACTACCAAAATGTAACCCACGTGAATGAAAAGGCAGTGTTTTTGATGAGCTTAAATTTGATTCTGTAATCGATACATCCTTAGAAGTTTTGAAAGTATCCTTATCAGATAATTTCTCGGAGAGACGATTACAATTTTTATCAAAACTTTCTTTTTTAAACTCTTTTGGTTTAAATTCTTTTCGTGGTATACGAAGAGATGATGATAATATTTGTACAAAAGTTAAACCCAAGTTGTTTTCTCTTAAATCAAGCCATTCCATATACGGCACCTAAGAAAAACATGAAAAAATACAATAAAAGAAATAAATTAAACATTAACTGTCGGTGAGTACTAATTTGTTTGAAATAATAAATTTTATCTCGAAAATGTTCATAAAATATATTTATTTTGAGTTACAGGATTCACTGTTAGAAATTTAACCGGTTTTTAAAATACTGAAATTCCTCAACTCATGCATTATCGTGACTACATATACAACTGTTCACTTCAATCTGAATAAAACGTTTCGTATGGTCATTGTAAAAACCATCCAGCATCTTTCAAATGAATACTTCAGAGTAATAGAAGAATTTTCAACGTAGATTTATAAAATCAGTAAATAAGGTTTAAACGAACTTAGTTTATAATCAAACCAAGGTTGATAGATAGGGAATAAATCTACCAATCTGTATTAGTGATAGCTGATTTAATCAGATTTTAATGGTCAAACTATTTGTCCAACAGTGTCAAAAAAATTCAATCAGAGACTATCATGATGTTTCTTAACGGTTGGCCCTAACTTATTAATCATTGTGACCTAAAACAAATTGGTACTAAATGGTCAATCTCATTTTCATATTTTCGCTATGACACTTAGATATAACGTGAAATAAAATGTTTTGAAACATGCTTTAATAAAATAAGAATAGGTGAAATGCTCAGGCAATCAATAAACTAATAACTAAATGAAAAATATCTAGGTTTTTACGTTTTATTTGTAGAATATGTATTTAACGAACTTCTTAAAAGGATTTATTTATACAAAAGTACTGAAGATAATTCGGTTGCCGAAAAATTGCCCATTCCCCTAAATACATGCATGATATACCTTATAATAAATAATTTGATAGAATTCATAAAAGTTAAATCTGTGAATATGTAATCATCAAGGAACTATTCTAGTGTACTAATAGATGACAAAAACTAATCGAAAAATAATAAAATTCTATGAAATAACGCAATGAGAAACAGGAGAAGAAAACTTGGGCGAAATGGTTTCCACATTCGGTTTTGGAATGACGCAGATTAATTAAATATAAAATTACGGTAGATTAGAAGCGTGAGTGGTTTACCTCTAACTTTTTGTTCATCAAGAAACCGCCAAATTTTAAGATGTAAACATTCACGAAACACTTGTTGATCAATATTAAATCTACTGACAACCAATTTTTAGATTTCGTCATCGATTTAATGTAACAATAAATTAGTAAATAGGGAATAATAACAATAAACAGAATTTTCACAGATTGAACGCATGAGTCAGTTGAAGCTAAACCACCATTGAAAACCTGGAGGCACTGGACGGCCGTTTCGTCCTAGTATGGGACTCCTCAGCAGTGCGCATCCACGACCCCGCACCACCCGGGGCTCGAACCCAGGACCTACTGGTCTCGCGCGCGAGCACATAACCACTAGACCACTGAGCCGGCATCCATCGGTGTTAATGTCTAACTTCAACCAATCCACGAAGTTGCGCTACCGTACACCATTGTCTTCAGTGAGTTCCTATCTCACAACAGACTGTTATATTTTTTAACAGGATTAAGAAATAATGACTGGGGGATTTAGTAGTAGTCTTTTGTTAAATGGAATGATGAACTGCCTGACAAAACCCATTTTAATGTCTCGATATCTGACATCAATTAGATTGCATGGTGATCGCTATTGAAATATACATATCGTCCATCCTCGTATAAAATTATCGACCTAAATCGCATTAGTGAATAACGGAATTAAATGAGTGCAATACGAGAATGGATTTTTGAATGCGTATGTTTTTTACACTGATTGATTTGAACAGACGATCAGAGGAATGAAGTTAAGAGGGCGGCCTGCTTGAGCATCTGGGCTACCTGTTCCTGCCATCTAGATATTTCAACAAGTTATCTATTGTTGTTTGTTTTAATATATCATTATGTTTATTAATCGCATAACCTATTCTGCTGCGTTTCTGAAAAGTGTACAACCTTTCGTTGTCAAAGTTACAGAAAACTCAATAAGAGACAATATGGTTGCTGGCAATGTACAACGAAAAGAATGTACATTATTCAGTTGTTCATTCACTGAAGTGCTAACATCTAACTGGCGATTCCTCAATATTTATCGCCAGGACCGATCAAGAAGAAAGAAACGGAAACTTGTTGAAATACTTTGCGCTGAGAATTCTATATTGTACCAAAATTATAATATTGAATAAAGCTAATAATAATAATAATAATAATAATAATAATAACAATAAGAGAAGAGAGCGAAGCGAAATGACGTTCATTAGAGATGGCGTGCGAGTCAACTTCATTTAATCAGGAGTTTATAGCCAAATCAAAATAAGTTACAGACATGTTACGAATATAATATGAAGTGTACACACATATCCGCTCATATAAAAAGTTAGGGTTGATAAGTGAATAATTAACAAGGTCAAAGCGTGACTAAGGAGGAATAGATATATCAGTCTCTCCAGAAGCCAGAACAAGTTATATGGGCTTAACATAGTAATCGACATTACAACATGTTCACTTACTTCTCGAAATAGAAAAGCGACAGGGATCCAGCCGGTAGACGTAACATTAGGGTTTCGAGCCAAACACAATCCTGTACATGTTTCATAATAACTCAAAATTTCATATAATGATTCAACAGACTAAAAATGAGTCCAAGAAATAAAATAAACATAAATCCGTTGTTATTTATAGAGATCTTTTAGCAGAACCTACATACTATTTGTTAAGACTCATATGTTTTCAAGTTAAAAATTTTGGAATTATCTATGGAACAGAAATAGACAATAGTAAGCTATTATTTTGTGTCTTTATATTTTAGTATTCCAGTTGATAGATATTTAGATTTTATTGGTTGAATGAATAATAATACTCTACCTAGCAGATTTTCTTTCAGCATTAATCTAATCATGAAATTTCTAAAACTATGCTTGGATTTAACGATTTCATATCCAAAGGAACTTTAAACAAACAAATAGAGTGACCGTGAGATCTCATGTAACGTCCATTTTTGTCGATTTACTCATATCTCATATTAGGTTGCTTGATTTTTCCTGTACCATCAGGCTATGTATCTTGAGCAACTATGCAGATACCCCATTTTTCATCGATAAAAAGACTTTCCTTTAAAAAATTGTCCTGAAATGATAAACACTTTTTCAAATCACAGCAAATTTACTTCCAAAAAGGAAGATGAACCCAGTGAACTACCATTCTTGAACCATCTAGTTAAGAGGAACCATAATGGAAATCTCAATTCAACCATTTATCGAGAACTGATCCATTCAAATCGGTATATTGATTTCAGTTCTCCACACTTGCTCAACGCAAAACTATCCTTGACCCTGAGTTTATTTAGATGAACTTTCAAGATCATTGCCCCAGAAGTGATAACATAATAAACTTTTTGCAACTTACTAATTTTACCGTGAATATTCTTATGAATATTCTAGAATATAACGGTTCATCTAGAAGTACCAGTTCTAGTGAAATATACTGTATTGGTACCCTAGTTTTTCCTAACAACCACGATATACAAAATCAAGGCCTTCTATAAAACAATCAACACTCTTCGAAGTACTTTAGTTCAGACTCAAGAAAAGATCCTGTTCACATCTACACAGTACTGTGTCTACAGATTGTATCGATTGCCTTGCATTCCATGTTAGAAGGCCTTCTTCTAAAATCTTGACTCGGGCCGAAGAACACTTAAGCTATACAAAAAGACCTATTACTTTTGTAGAACTGAAAAATCTACAAATCAAATTCTCATTAGCAGTACTTGTTATACTTAGTTACCACCAAACCGATATCAATAATATCAAAATAATTCAGAAAGGTTTTTCCAACAATAAAGAAAGGCGAGTGGCTGAAGCGTTTCACATAATGCTAATTTCCTCAACAGAAAATAAGTCCTGACTATTTATCCAGCTTAAACTGTCTATCAAAACAACCACATGTAACTATGTTCGTTTTTTGAACAATCCACACACACATACACATTCAGATTCCGACTCATTTGTATGTATTGATTAGTTGAATCTTCCCACTGATGTTTCAGACCATTTCATAATTCAAGCTCCACGTATTTCACAGCCACACAAATAATGGTGTATCATACAGAAACCGTTCGGCCGAAAATTTACATGACGGTGACATGATTAGGCCTTCCTTCATGCTACTTAGACGTTTGTTAGTTCACTTCAGTAATTTATTTATTTACTCTGAATATATGATCATTGGGATATAAAAAATCTATCATTGGTTTACTACCTTTGATTTCAATTTACTCAATCTTTTTGTTTCGAGAAAAAGCGACTCCTTAATCAGTATCTAAATGCATTACGCTAAAAAGGAATTCATTCTAATTTTATATTAGTTGTTTCTTTTGTTTATCCTTTATTTTAGAAAATATTGTTTATTTTGTCGGGTCCTTCATTTATTTCCATTCCACAAAATGTCGCTTAATATGGTATATGAGCTCGCGAACCAGCAGAATATTACTTAAACCAGCATTTACAATTCAAAAATATGATAGAGTGAAATAAAAGCTGACTTTTAAATCTTGTAGCTATTACCCTGTAGTCCACTTCCTCTTTCCTAACCGTAAAAAACTCAAAGTATATCAGATTTTATAACATGGGATTACTTACAACATTACTCATGCTGTCTTAACCAAAATAAAAATAGCCCACAAGAGTAATAGTCCTGATGTCACTTTAAAATGGTCCAGTTTTATCTTAAATAAATGTTTGCCTTGTATTCTATTTCCTTGCATTATATTATTTAAATATACATGCTTTCTATACCATCTTTTTGCAATCAAATTTCAGGTGGTATATTTGAGTGATGAAATATAGTTATATCAAAACACCAGTAGAATCCTTACCTCGTCATCAAGATTGGTGTTTTCCAAATTTACGTATTGAAATTGGACGTATTTGAAAACATATTCCAGCATATCAATATGTCCACCATTAAGTTGACAACCTAAAACGATAATCAATAGCATAATCTCTTACCCTTAAGATTAAAAACGTGTTTCCGTTCTAGGGACTGCCTCAAATCTATAGACTACAAACAAGTGATTTTCCTCAACTACTTACTTGTAACTGTGAAATGACGCTATACAAAGGTTGGATCGAAGAGAGATTACATTGAAATTTATAAACACTGATTAACTCAGCAGGTGATAAGCACTGTCCTTCAGCCAAAATTCATAAAGCTAACTGACTTACTGTTTAACCAAGGATCAACTGGATCTATCACACACGTAACAAGATTACATTCCCCAGGAAATTTTACAGACTTTTTACTGACACATTTTGGTATCATGGAATTCGTTCTTTCGTTATTACCACCCTGTTCCTCTACAGGAGCGGAACAAACAGATTTGGAACCTGTATTCATAAGAACACAAAGTTTATTTATGTAATGTGAAATAATACAAATCTTAAAATGAGTTTAAAAAAATATTAACCAGGATTTATGCGGTGTAGTTTATATGATATGTAATATTTATGATGCCGTACCAAAAAATATCCTGACTCATTTCAAAGATATTAGTAGGAAGATTATAACTCAAAGAGTAATGATACAATAAAATTATCCATAACCTGAACCAGAGAACATTTAGCGTCATGTCATTGTCTTGCTGCAGTCAGGAATTGTATACTTTACTGATAGTGAATACGTGGACTTTGTACAGTATTGAGTAATTAGGACAAATAATATGATTACACATAACATACATATATATTGGTTGTTTGGATCGTCACACTGATGTTTAGGACTTGAATTGATCAGTCTTTTTAAGCGTCTGTGCATTCTGTTCGTGTTACCTCGATATTTCTCTTAAGTCACACACGTCTTAAACAGAGATGAATGATGGTCAGCACTAAAATCTACCATGCTCATCAGATGGGTGAACCTATACACCAGCGTTGATGTTCACTCCGAAACGCGAACGCAGTACCTTTGGCTTCAAATTCCGCATTGTCCACTAAGCGTCCGAGTTTATATAATAACTGTCTTGCCCAGTGGTGCAGTCAATCGATGGGAAGATCCAGACAAATAATATGCATAAGCTAAAATTCACCCTTATATACTTTAGGCTAAAATATGCATGAAATCGATGGCAGAAACTATGGGCTCTCATATACGAGTAGCATATACTAGATTAATTTACAAGAACAACTAAACATCACTTTATGCTTTAATTTTATCAAGTGACATAATCTTCAATAACTGGATACTGAGTGAGGTATACATAAGTGAATACAACAGGACCAACACTGTCCTTCTTACATTGAGACGCATAGTCTTGCGTTTTCTGATGGAGGATTCAAACCATAATCCAGTGAGTGCTGGTCGTCCGCTATAAAAACTGTCGTGTCGAACGGATACTAATACTCAAAAAGTCAAAGAATTAGAAAAACTGTGCTATACATTTTTGCTTCTCTTTAAAATGACTCGAAATATAACGTTGAATAGAATATTTATTCAAACTTTCTGGCTCTCCAATTAGTTTTTCAGAAACATATCTTTTATTTTACTACCTATTTCTAATGAGTTGAGTTATCACAATACAGAGGAAACAAAATAAACTACGTGCATTTTTTAAAACAGCTAAATAGGTGGATCAAATATGTAAAATTAATTGTGAACACTTATTAGGTGAAGGGATGCAAATACACGACAAAAATTTAATTTGCCAATTCACTATCCGTGATTCATTTGCAGAGTATAAATCTCATCCAGAATTAAACTGAAAGACTAGATTCAATGTATTTTATTCAGATTGAGTCGGAAATATAGATACAGTCAATTTATAGTAAGATGATATGGAGTGACCATAATAAGCCAATATTTTGGCTGGTTATTTTACCAGAATAGTTACTTGCAGTTCTTCATAGTGATATATAATATATATATGTTGAATCTCTTCTACCGTACTATTTTTAGAGCAGTTAGAGCAAAAGCCGAAAGTAAATGGATGAGAAGATATACTCGGATCACCAAGTTACTGGAGATGTACTTGGGGTTATGCTGAACCATGATGGACAATTTCCTAATCAACAATCTCAAATGAAAAAGGGGGAAATAAACCACGCTTAATTCAGTTACACTTACTTTTCTTTCGATGACTACATATAAGCATCACGTTATTATCGGATAAGCAATATTTCACATTATAGAAATTTATCTTTAGAAGAATCAGACATGATCTATTGCAACAAAACGTCGATACTGATAAAAATAACCCATGATATGCCAGCAAGTGACTTGAAAGAATATAATAATCGCTCAAAACAGAATTTTTAGAAAATTTAGACGGCGATTACCAATTTACAAACTACAAAAATTATGAAGGGATACAAAAATATACTCCGTTGTATTCCTGTTATTTTTACTTCAACGACAAGAATGTTATGAAACACGTTTAAGTGGTGGTCGAACGAAAATGTTTTTTTGTTAAATTCAAACTTACTATGCTAAATATTTGGAAATTTACATTTATGACGAACTGAGGAATTATTATGCCGCGCTTTGCGAAAACTTTAATTATAAAATGTTTTCACTAGCATAAAAAATTGCCGTTACGGATTTTATTCATGTTGAACAAATAAACGTACGGTTATAGTACCCTTTCTTAATCATAACGATAATGCAAAAACTATTTGAAAAGCTCTGGACTTGACTTTGCTTTGCATTTGGTGCGATAAAACGAACAACAGAAGAAATGGGAAAATGAAGTAAGAATAATAATTCATCCCAGAGACTTCTAATTTTTACTACGAATGACGGCTTCTGTTTAACTTGCATTTGTTTTATCAAAATGACTTATTCTCGGGTTGTAATCAGGCAATATTAGATTTATTTTTCAAATGGCCGTGGACGGGATAGCAGAGGGTATGGCTTGTTGTGATGAATGATTCCTTGGAAAAAAATAGGCACATGAATCTTAAACATTGATTCTGAACTTAATTTACTTGCCTGGACATACCTTTGTTCTTGTCACTCGGTCATGTAACCACACAAGACCATTCTGTAGCTATAAATAAATTCCTTCGACATTTGATGCTAACCTCATTAGTTTTAATGGGCTCACCTTGCTGTAGGTGCTCGGTCATGCATCAACATCAGATCACGAGTGAGTACGTCATGCTTTACCTCTCCCACAACCGATAGCCAGCCTAATTTAGTTACTTCTCGATATATCGATCTTCCATCAAATATATATTCGAAACTATTGGCTTCTGACGTCTAGACCAACTGGGCTGGCATGTTTCGATTATATAAGGTGTTACTGGTTAAGGTGTTGTCAAACTCCGAGTACTTTTGACATCTTCAATGTGTTAGTACGTCGTGGTAAGCGTCTCTAGCAACTGCGAAGCAGCCTGAATCAAACGGTTTTCAGGGTGGCAGCTGACTTCTAAACATATTTCCTAAAGTTTCGAAAGAACCTGAGGGACAGTTGTTGAGCCTAACTACCTTGAGTTTCTGGAAGCTTACATAGGAAATGTGCTCACCCTTTCACGATTTTTTGGAAAGTTCAAAGAAGTTTACCGAGACAAACCGTCTGCAACTACATTTTTTGCCTTAAAAATGTTTTGTACATCTAAAGTTAACTGCGAAATACAGTCCAGTTGTTGGGACTGTCGAGGGGGATACTTGTCTGTAAATTAGCTTAAAGAGAAGGCAAGAGGTTTGTGATCAGTGAAAAGAGTGAATTTTCGACCCTCCACAGAGTGTCGAAAGTGTCATGCAATACAACACATGGCTAGGAGTTCCCTACCGAAAGTGCTATTCCTCTATTCAGAGACTAGCAACCAAGAGTCCTAAAGGCTGTTAGGTGTTGTTTACCCATCGTTGTACGACTCCCCGGATTGCCAAGTCAGGTGCGTCCACTGAGATACCTACGGGTGCTTGGGTTTCCTAGTGTGCAAGTGAGGTTGCTTTGGAGACAATTCCCGTAATTGTGGGGAATGCTTTATTCCTGATGTCGTCCGAATTTATGATTTTCTTATTTCTACGAAGTTGAGCCACTAAAATTCTGATATGGGACGCGCAATTTGGTAAGGAAACTACCAGGCCGTTGAATAGACTTAGTTGCTGTTTGTGATCGGTTCTGGGTAATCCAGAATGGCTGCAACTTCGCTTTTTATAAGTCGGATGACTTGAGCATCAATAGTGTGTCCAAGGAAATATAGGGAGTCAGTGTGGATTAGACATTTCTGAATGTTTACACTATTGTCGTGACTTTGTATTTGTCTGACGACAAGGTCCAGATGTTGGAGATGAGATTCTCTGTCCGGACACGCAATCAAGACCTCGAAAAGCGTCATCTATGAACCTTTGAAATGTCTGAGCAGCATTTCTTAAGCCGAAAGGCATTCGCAAAAATTCGTACAGGCCGAAAAGAGTTATGATTGTGTTTTTCGGAATGTCGTCAGTGGCCATAGGGATTTGATCATAGTCTTCAATCAAGTCTATCTTCGAAAAGACAGTTTTCCCTTCAAGGTAGCTGACAAATCGTGAACGTATGGCAACGAGGGACGATCGGGAATCATCACCAGTTGGACGCCAGTCGCTGCTGTCCTTTTTAGAGACCATGTGCAACGGAGATGCCCATGGTCTGTCTGACGGTCGAATGATGTGATCGAATTTGTTTCTGCCCAACCTCAACGTTTTGGGAGCTAGTAGTGGTCCTGTTGTCGTGATGTTATGTGTAACACGGCGGGTTACGCATGAATCGATCATGTGCTTTAATGTGACTGTATGAAGAACACTGACTTCTGCTCCAGTTTCCATGAGATAGCAAACATTCGTCAACACATCAGTGATGTATACCAGATGTCTGACTTCGTCGGATACGGTTTCCTTTTACGCGTGCTGTCAAGTAAGTTTCCCAAAAGGTTTCGTTTCAGACAGTTCGCAGATTGAATAACTGCATGGTTATCTGCAATTTTGACGAGATTTTATATATTTATTTTGATTCCAGAACCAATGAGGTTTTCCTGCCACTCGTAGCATAGAGAGAAATCTTTGTCGTGACGGACTTCTTCAGGGAGTCAGACAGCGTCTGTAAATATGCTGGATAGTAAGATGACGATTAAGAAGTACACTACATCATTTTGCGTTGCTTGTGACTCTTCTTTGATAGAATAAACCTTGACGTCAGGGGTTATGGTGATCTTCAGAGTCTGGTCAGCAGATGCATTCGTCTCATCTACAGCGCTATTTCGAAACGAGAGAAGGAAGCTTGGATATGGAGTGCTGCCTAAACAGGCCATCGTCAAAAGTCCATTTATCAATGACCTTTCGCATTCGTTGCAACATTTCTGTAGTTGAGCCATGTTGTAGATCTATGATGTCGAGGAATTGACCTAACATTTGTCGATCGGTTAGAACCACACGCTCAAGAATATCCATTTTTAGAGTCTTGTGAGTTTCCGAAACACCACTAGTAGAAGTATTAGGTGTGACGTACCTGTTGAAATCGAGCAGTGATGCCTTCACTACTACGAGGAATTGTGCACGTTTATGCAGCTTATATAGTGTATGAATTCGTCTACCAGATAACGTCGTGCTCACCACTAAAAATGCCATAGGTATTCTGAGCTCTAAATCGCCCTTATTCATGGCACCTTTACGATCAAAGTATGCTAACCCAGTCAGATCAAAAGTCATAAATGAAGACGTTCGAATATATATGTTGGGGGTTATCGAGTCCAAGCTGACAAACATTGTTGGAAATGCATAGCATGGAGTACCTGTAGAAATATGGTCTTCTTTGTTATTATTATTATTATAGACTTAATTCTGAAAGTATAGATTTGTCATTATGTGACTGCCTAATTTATAAGATCTTATATAGAAGGCACACCACTGTCTACACTGATTCATCGTACCGTAACGATTTACAATACGACGTATGGAGTTCCTAAAGGATACATTTAGGCTAAAGATTGAATAATATATTTAATGTTAGTGAAGACAAGTTATACAGAATAACCACGCCTGCAAGGCCGGGCCACGCCATCTCATTAAATTCAACCAACTCTTCACACCTACAATGCTGACCTTCTCTTCGTGTCGATTGTTGAATTTAAATATTAGCACTAATTACGTGCTTGGCTTCAAAGTTCGTGTGGTTAGAGTTTAGTGCCACTACATACCCATTTATAATCTGGTGCAGATTAGTGACCGGGCACCTTAACCTAGGTGAGTCCAGTAAAATTGATACAGTCAGCCTCAATGTCGAAGGTCTACAGAACGGTTTTTATCAACTTATCCAACGTTATATACTTTTCATCAGTATAACTGGAGATATATCTAGTAAAACGCAAACTATATGACTGGTGTTCAGTCTTCGTTGATGAACTCCGAGATGCGAATAATCAATACTGGTCACAAACTAATCATTGTCATCTGAAATCAGGACAAGCTATTTCCGTGACTAGATTAAATAGTGTTAGCTTCGTAACCTTGAAATCTAAACATCTAGCTCAGCTTCTCTAATGTAGAGTAATACATATGTCAGATCAAGAGATTACGTGAAATTACGTGCTAAATTAATCAATTTTATAGCCGAAAAGTTTATATATTTATAACCTTACACGTACTGTCACGCAAGATAATCTTTTCTATTTATTCAGGATTTTAGCCTTATAGATATTAATTTTATCAAGGACTTCGGTGGTATACCCACTCAAAAGCGTATGGAGCTATGATGATTAAGAATATTTGAATTATAGTGCAAAGTAGGAATCCAACAAATAACTCAATTGGATCGATAAGTACTAGGTAAGCACGAAGGAATGTACTGTATTTGGAATTCAAAATCAAGCATTCAGCAAGTAAAAAGAAATCGTTAGTTCAAACACCATGAAAACGTTCTGTTGTTAGCTAGTCGAATACATTAAACATTGAACAGAAACTGCAGCTACTGTCCAGGAAAATGAACATTAAACTTCCCCTCATAGTGCTTTCCTATCCTAAAAAACACCTGTCACCTCTAGTTTTGTATCGCTTGTTTGAAACTGAATGGACTAAGATTATTAGGTAAAACTTCCTATAGATAGTCTTCGAATCGTTTAACTGCTTTTTTGTTGTTTTTCCTCTGTTTATCCTGGTGTCACATGTGAATACCTTCGTTTTTGACATCTGCAAAGTATCATGACCCATCAACTGATACTTTTTCTGAGGATCAATAAACTAAAAACGACTATTGGTGAATTTTCAAGCGCAGCGGAGTTCCAAAGTGATATGCTCAATACATATTCTTACAATGACAATACATTATTGGCAAAGCACTTACATCCCATGCCATGACATAACGAAGAAACTCTCTGGAAATCACCGTAAACCAGAACGACCAGTCAAAAGCAAGGAAGGCAAGGTAATCACAAAAATTGAAGAACAATGAAACAGGTGGGTAGAGCACTTCAAAGAACTCTTGAAACGACTAGCCTCACTGAACCCACTTAATATCGAAGCAGAACCCACGGACCTCCCAATCAATGTTGGCCCACCAACAATTAAAGAAATCAGCATGTCAATCAGACAAATCAAGAGTGGCAAAGCAGCAGGACCAGACAACATTCCAGCAGAGGCACTAAAAGCAGGCGTAGCGGCAACTACAAGGATACTTCACATTATCTTCAGCATGATTTGGGATGAGGAACAAGTACCAAAAGACTTCTGGCC